GATTTATCATGGTTAAAAAAGTATAATCGTCTAATAGATTGGATTTTTTATAAACTTGAATTTCTTCAAAGCATTATTAAGAGTTTTGTAAAAAGCCATGAGTCTAATGTAGCCAAACTCATATTTGTAGGTGCAAAAGCTTTCTTACATGTTGCAAAAAAATGATTATCTTTTGTTATTTATGCCACACCTATTTTTAATGATGGAAAGATTTCAAGTGGCATTTCAAGTCAATATCAAGATTTTAAAGATATTTTTGAGAAAAAAAATATAGATATTCTCTCGGAGCATTGTCCATATGATTGTTCAATTGACCTTAAAAAAGGAAGTTAGCTATTATTTGGTCCAATCTACAATTTATTACAAAATGAGTTGACTGAACTCAAAAAATACATTGATGAGAACTTGGCCAAGAATTTCATACATCATTTAAAATCTCCTATTAGAGCTCGTATCTTATTTATGAAGAAAAAAGATGTTTCACTACAAATGTGTATAGATTATTAAGTTCTCAATAAGATTATTAAAAAAAATAGGTAATCTTTATTCTTGATATCTAAACTTCTTCATCAACTAAATCAAGCTAAGATCTATACAAAAATAGATATATGAAGAACATATAATTTGGTCTGCATTAAAAAAAAAAGATGAATAAAATAGTGTATTTTGAATAAAGTATGGTTAGATTGAATATAATGTTATGCCTTTTAGTCTCAAAAATACACTAGCTTGTTTTCAACATCTTATAAATGATATTTTTTGTAAGTTTTTAGATAATTTTATTGTTTGTTACTTAGATAACATTTTAATCTATTCTAAGAACATAAAAGAGCATAAATTTCATATTTATTATGTATTACAAAAACTTAGAGATACAAGATTGTATACTAAGTTGAAAAAGTATGTATTCTATACTACTCAAGTTGACTTCTTAGGATATATCATTTCTAATGAAGAATATTTGATGGATCTGAAGAAGGTTCAAACTATTATAAATTAGAAGATTCCAAGAACAGGTAGAGATATGCAATGTTTTTTGAGCTTTTCCAATTACTATTGGATCTTCATTACGAATTTTTCTCAAGTTGCCTCTTTTTTTACATGTCTTACATGCAAAAACAAACTTAATTGGAGTAAAGAAGCTAAAGCATCTTTTAAAGCCTTGAAGTTGACATTTATTTCTATACCAATCTTATATCATGTTGACTTTTTAAAGGTATTTTTTATAGAAATGCATACATCAAATTTTGCTATGGGTGCTATTTTATTACAAAGAGGAGAAGATGACAAGTTCCACCTAGTAGTTTTCTATTCCAAGAAATTCTCAATAATCCGGATTAACTATGAGATCTACGATAAAGAACTTCTTGCTATTATGGATTCTTTTTAAGAATAGTGTCATTATCTAGAAGGCGCTTTCAATCTAGTCAACATATATATGGATTACAAGAACCTCAAGTATTTCCTATGAGCACGTATTTTGAATCGTCGCCAAGCTCATTGGAATATGTCTTTATTAAGATTTGAGTTCAATATCACTTTTTGGCCAAGAAAACAAGGTTTGTTTGATGCCCTTTTTAAATATTCTTATCTTATACCTAAAGGAAGAGATGTAGGTTTTGATCAATAAAAGATAATTTTATTGAAGCTAGAAGAATTTCATCTTCGAGCAATGAAATCAATATTAATTGTTGATTCAACTTTTTTCAAACAAATTCAATTAATTTTGTCCTTTGATCTTCTTTTTCATAATATGAAGAATATTTCTTCTAAATCTCGTGACTTTTTTAAGTCCGAGTTCAAGAAAAACCTATTTTATTTTGAAAGACGCCTATATATTTTAGAAGGAGAAGCAAGCTTAGATGTTTTTCAAGCATGTCACGACTTTTTAGCAATAAGATATTTTAGATACAACAAGGTCAAAGAAAGCTTTGTATCCACCTTTAGAATCTAGGTGGATTCTAAAGATTGATATAAAGCTTTCTATGACCTTTCATCTTCAAAGTGATGGATAGACAAAGCATATAAATCAAGTTTTGGAGCAATACTTAAGGTGTACTATCAATTGACAACAAGACAATTGAAGAACCCTCTTGCCATTGGCAGAGTTTGCATATAATAATATAATACATTCTTCTATACAACAAATACTTTTTTTTGCCAATTATGGTTACCATCTATGATTTGATACTTTTGACTTTTCAAAAGTTGATGTTCGTGCAGCAAAAACTTTGGCAAATTGTTTATCTCAAATAAATGCAACAATGAAGATGCAATTAAAGGAAGCTCAAAAATGTCAAAAGATCATTCTGGATGCCTATCAAAAGAAATAACCACAATTCAATGTAAGTGATAAGGTATGGTTACTTCATTGTAATATCAAGACTACTTGTCTTTGTGATAAGTTGGACTATTACAGACTTGAATCTTTTTTTATTTGTAGATAAATCAATCTAGTTGCTAATCAATTACATCTACTGGAATCAATGAAGATCCATCATGTCTTCCACGTATCTCTTCTTGAACCATACAAGATTGTGAACATACGAAGAAGAAAACAAGCTCCACCTCCTTCTATAATAGTAGACAATAATGAAGAATTTGAAGTAGAAGAAGTTCTAGACTTAAAGGGGTGTTGAAATAAATTAGAATATCTTGTCTATTGGCATGGATATGATATTAATAAATGTACATGAAAGCCAATAAAGAATCTTACAAATGCAGCAAAGATGGTGGAGGCTTTTTATCAAGAACATACATCAAAATTAAGATGAAAGATAGCAAACCTTTGCTATAAATGAAATACAATTAAAAAAAGATTGCATTCTATCTTCTATCTTTGTTTGTAGTTTTTGTATAATTGTGACATCAAGGAGATAGAAACTAACAACTAACGGACTCAATTCAAGAGCCATCATTTGTTAACTTATCAAACGAGATATTACAATTATCACAACCTTCAAGACAATGTAATAGGGATGAAGATCTTCAAGAATAACATATTTTTCCTTGAAAAGATGGCAAGACATAACACGTTTGATGTCACGATTGTAAAAAGACTCTCAATGTTTGGTGATTTTATTGGAGGTAAACATGAGACATGATAGTATTGCAAATTTTTAATTGAAGGAAGTTATGAAGGTTTTTACAATGATCAAATCAAAGGGTAGTCTTCTTGCCATAAAATGGGACATTACCAATAGTTGAAAGGACCTATTAATTAGCTTTGAAGAGAACAAATATCAGAGTACATGGCAAATATAATTTCTTACATCTTAGACTACTTCAATATATAATCAACGCTCCTTGTAGAACTTGTTTCTAGAAGAGAGGGCAATGTCACGGATATATACCTATTGTAATCATTACTTAGATAAGTAGAATTAGATAAAAGTAGATTAATTTCATAATACCTTGTAGAGAAGCTTCTTAGATGTTATTTTGACTTTACATATCTTTGTAGTTGATTAACAAATTAGAAACTTGGTCAATAAGCTATCCATGTACCACATGTATTGGTAGCTCGCAGAACAAGCTAACTATGTAGCAACCATATAGAAAATTTGACTTGCAAGTCAAGATACATGTCATGCAAAGTCAACACATTTTTGGAGGTCCTATAGAATGTTGCCACATAGATCCTAGATAGATAGTATATGTAAAGGCAAGAGTGAAGCCTTCTTCACTCTTGTCGATTCTTTTCTTCTCCTCGTCTAGATTCAAGAGTCTTTAATTTCTTTGTCTTTTGGTAATATCTATTCAAGTTTCTTTTTAATATACATACTATTTTATTTCTATTTTGTCACTTTTTTTTGACATAGATTTCCCAAGTTTATGTATCTTCTTCTAGTTCATGTCCTTAATACTTAATGTCTTTTTACTATCAAAAATAGATGTGGCATAAATAGCAAAAGATGATCGTTCTTGTTTTGCATGCATAAAAGCTTTTATACCTACTAGTAAGGTTTTGAATATACTAGAATTATATATTTCTACTTGACCAAAGGAATTTTAGATTAAATTACAAAAAAAATTAAAGTTACAAAAAATCTAATCTATTTGAGGATTATGATTTTTTAATCATGATATCCCTAAATAATTAGAATAAAGTGAGATCTTATTATATTAAGTATCATTATACTATTATAATCTTTAACTGTTACATCTTAAAGAATAATCTCTTCAGTAGCATCTCCAAAAGACAACAAACAACCATCTATGACTTCTATATTTATGGATTTAATCTTTTTGATTAAAAATATTTCTTATTTTTTGACAAAGTCTTCATCTATAAAATAAATTAAGGCTTTTGAATCTAATAAAGTAAAGACTTTGTGATTTTTAGGTCCTAAACACATATCTATTGTAAAAAAAGGTAGGAGATTTGAGGAGAGAATAGGACCATTACTAGATGTTGCACATGATTCCAATTGCACAATCTCTATTGTACTTGAAGAAACTTGTTTTTTAACACGTTGTCTTCTTTGGCAATTGTGCTCTTCATTTTGTATTTATATTACTTCTTTAAACAATATTGAGTAATGCACTTAAGTTCTCCATAATATAAACTCAAATCCTTTTAACAACATCAATTCTTTTCTTACTTAATAAGAGATTTAAAATATATTATATCAATTTGCATTGATTTTAGCCTTTATGAATAAATTTTTGAAAACTTAAGAATTGCTATCATTATTTGACTTGTTTCTTTTTAGCCAAATTTTTATTTTTGGCACCTTTCAAAGAATGAAGTACAATTCATAATCAACCATATCAATCAACTTCCCTCAAGATCTTTCATACATCCACATCTAAGGATTTTCAAATTCTCCTAGCTCTGATTCTTGTAGCCTCAAATACATATCATCATAAAAGATGTGTCAATCATTGAAAATAATTATTACATCAACAAAGACATATAATGATACAAGATAATATTTAAAGAACTTAGGTTGTTGCATCAAGCAAACATTTTTCCATTCATAATTCAAACCTTGTAGTACTTAAATTCCACTCATTGCCAATTCAATCCTTATCACATATATATTTAACCTTTATACTCTATCAATGGAAAAAACCCTCTTTCTTCAAAGAAAAAGATGTCCTCATATACATACATGGCTATGTTGGTGTAGCCAATTATCTTGTCATAAACTCTGATTTCCACAAAATCACAAGCTTCATAATCTTAGTAGACAAAATTGCTTCTTGTAGTGTAGTTGACTTAAAAATACCGCCATCAGTAGTCCACTTGTTCTTTGTGGAGTCATAGACTTCTACACTTGCTTTTGCATTTTGGTTTTGAAGGTGGTCTACAACAATGATGGTGTACTGTTTGGTTGGTTTGTCAACTACTAGGTGTACAAGGTTGAAGTTACGCACGTGAGAAGGAAGAGGAAGCTTTTTCCATATTTGAGTGAGTGGATCGCACACATATAGCTGTAAATCCTGCATGGCAGCAACCTATTTGCACAGACGCAAATAAAGAGGGCTTGTCAGCAACCGAGAGCCAAGACTTAATTCAGAATCTACATGTATGAACATTAACTAAAATCCAACATATGCCAAACAACACCAATAAGTACAAGAAATCGTCTTCTTTGATAAGAAAAATAACACATGAACAATAGTAACAAAAAATGCAACAAATAGAACGCATCGTCACTTATGTTTCTCAAGGTGATCATTCTTGTTGCTTGATTAGTGTATGGATACTAACCCGGTAGTCTCTGCTTGCCATGGAAACAGGACGCTTACAATATATTAATCTTCCATTTCCAGCAATTGGAACATTGTAATGCAGAGGAAGGAAATAAAATTGACTCGAATATCGTACCCCCTCCACGGGCCAAAAACACCACAAACTTTTTCGTTCCGTCTCAACTATCAAAGCAAACTTGCGAGGCTAACATGCATGCCAATGTGAACATCCTTCATGTTTACGCACCTAAGTTACAAGAGATAAAATCCATTCCAAGTCAAGTGTTAATAACTGACATCAATATAGCAAGCATAATGGGAAGACATGAGCTTAAAAAGACCAATATATGAGGACTTACGTGATGCAATAGAGCCAAAAGCGATTTGAAACCTAGCTGAGGTAATTGAAGACCGCCAATGCTTTAAAAAAAACACGCAACTGGAAAATTTGATGGAGAGCTAGCTGCGCAAACACAAATTCTTAAATAGTCGGTGGTAATTTATGCCAAAGAGTGCTGTCCATTTCGACCTTCACATGTACACATACACGGTCGCACCACAAGTCCTCGTCCTTGACGACAAGTTTCTGTAGGTGATACCTCTCAAGCTGAACAACTTCATCTTCCCGCTTAGGTGGATCATTGGAATCCAAAGAGTCCACAAGAGTGGCTTCAATCTTACTGAGGGAATTTTGAAGCACAAATTCCATAACATTCTTGATTGAATCTGCTACATTTTGCCTTTTACATGTAAGCATAGACACACTCGGCATCCACTTCCAGCATTCTTCTTGTGTTGTGTATCGTCTGTAAGCAATTCCAAAACAAATTTAGTACCTCTTTGAAATTTTGTCTTGTTATCTGGGTAATTCTGTCTACCTCTTCCTCCGCTTTGGCCAAATCCACGTATTTTGGTGCCATGTCTCTTGACACGATTGGCCTTAGAGACGATGAGCATAAGTTCCAATGATAACCCTATTCGACACTATGATGACTAACCAACTTATGATTCCGTTGCATTCTTTGCTACTTCCAACCCTTGAATCAACACTAAAGCACAATGTAGAAAAGCACATGCAATTGCAATGTTCTCAATAATAATACACAAAAGAATCCATTTGATTGGGGACCCAACTAATTCTGTTGGTTACATTTATTTTTATTATTTTCAAAAAAGAAAAAGAAAAAGAATAAAAAAAAGCATCATTCAAGCATGTGATTTCTGATTGTCCAGCTCTACGCATGTAACTAAACCCTAAGAAACAATGCATAATGAAAACATGTCTCAAAAATTAATGCTCATTATATGATGATTCAAAATCAGGTCACGAGAGCAGAAGGCACACATGTTCAATGGCATCTATCGCATTGATAAAAGTATCAAGATGTTCCTTCGACAGAGGCTTGTACCTGGTTATCAAGTGGAACTCTTCCAAGACCTGCTTCGTTAATTTGGCTTGAATACTTGGAAACGTACAATCCCAGCATAAAAAGAGGCTTGTTCACAGCTGCACTCGTTCCACAAGCAACTACATGCTACAATCACAATCGAGCAGCTAAAAATATGTAGTGACACTAATTGCTACACAATGAAGACAGTACTCTTGACGTGGTAGCAGACCACACCTTTGACATTCATGCTGCACAAATGAGACACATTCTCTTGAATTGAGGTATATCTCTCTCTAGAAAGAAGTCTCTACAAGGCCTAGCATGATATTTAAACAAATTCATCAAAAGAATGCATACTTCAACAAAAACAACTTTATCTTCTACCGCTCTTCACAAATTAGTTCTTCGGACGTGTAACCCTTCCTCCATTAAAACCTCTAGACACAAGCTTCTTCACAATTCATTGAGGATTTCTTCTCCCGCTCAATCCTCACAATTAAGCCCGTAATGGTATCCTTCACCTCAATTCTGCGACCAACAATCGACATCTCGCATGCGAGGTCTGACAAACCTCTTGATGAATATTCATTCACAACCCAACTAAATGCACTACTTTAAAATCAGCCAAAATTCACATCCACCTCCAACCGCCCGCCACTCAACAACACACGATCGTAGGTATGAGAATCGCGATGGCTTGCGCTGTAAAATGGAGTACCCACCATCCCCATTTATTCGAACCCAAAATCTGCCAGCAAGACAACGATTCGCTCCAATTGAGCTTATCACATACCACAAAATTACTTCCAACCGAAAGGCATTTAGTGACGACAGGGTCATTGTGGAGGGCCATGAAACCCTAAAGCGCCATTATTACATCAGGAATAGTTTTATAAAATCCCGATTAAACTAATGGGTCAGCTCCGTGTTGGACAATTTGCAATTCACGTTCAAATTGGAGGGGAGGTTGTCTTTGATTTTTAATGTATTCTCTGGCCTCTTGTGTTGTTAAGTGACAGAGTCCACCTTGATCACGGTTCAAGAGCATCCAAATTTTGAGGCAATACAATTGTAAGTCAGTTGGACATTGAAACCTCGTCTGTTGAAGACTACTTCGTTTGTGGTTCAATTGCAAGCCTCTGAGCATTTCTTTCAACGTATTTTTTTGATGCCATACACCTTGGATACAGAACTTAAATGGGTTGAGCTGATCAGCTGCAGTAGTTGGAAAACCTCCTATGGCAATACAGTGCTTCCAAATCCAGAATTGTAGTATCAACACCACCTTCTAGTGTCCAAAGCCCTCAACGAAATGACTGAGACAAACTTTAGCAAAATCTATATCGAAAAGGCCTCGGATTCTTCTGCATGTTGTACAGAACAGTAGCGTCCAATTGGTATCCAAGTGGTTGAAGGGATTTCGACCCTCGATTGCCTATTTTCAGTAATTGGCCTGGCTCACCAATTTAGATTCCACAAGAGAATCTGACATAGTTTTATACAGCCACGCCAATAATGTATGGTGAAGTTTCGTACGAATCTAGCTTATCTTAACAAACCCAACGTGCAAAATTTCAACCATTTCTTCCGTATTGCAGCGAAAGCAGAAGATGAATCCTTCTCTTAAATTTGCTGCCGGAAAGGTACCGAAATCCTCTCACGGTGTCGCCAAGGCCACTGCATCTTCAACTCCACCTCTGGGTTAGTTCCATGCTTTCTCGACAGCCTCTTCAGAAAGGTCGCACAGCGTAGCGCGTCCACAACGTCAACAACACCGATGTTTCGGTACCTATTCACAACGACGTATGTTTATGAAACCACTGTCTGGATCGGCAATGTATCGAATCTGAACCCAGTTCCAGGTGTCAGCGAAGCTATCCGAGTAGCAAGCACTAGCTGGAGCACTCTTCGAAATCTTGCAGAACATTGCAGCGCTGCACAAAAACTTCCTACCAAAATCGAGAGGGAAAAGGCTTTTTCTACTACCTATTGTTTCTGGGTTCGGATTTGTCATTCCTCTCGGTGCGTCGCGACGGGTTCTCCTCTCGTGATCACAAGATTGGAGCGACGAAACTCATCGCTTTTGCAGCTTCTTCGTGAATGCGTGTGTTATGTGGGGTGCCAGAAAACAGCATCAAGGTGGGATTGTGCATTGTGGGTACGATCTGTCTACGATTCCGTCGCCTCGCCTCGTTCAATTCCTTCGCTCTCAGCGCCGCGTTTTTGTAATCCTCCTCGCGCGACGGATGTCGGTGATTCTGCGGCTGTCGGTGCTTGCCTGTCGATAGAAGCCATTTACAGGGTTTTGATTATGGACTGACTTGCTCCATTGTTCATTTTACACATCAATGCGAGGTAATTAACGTTTCGATTAGAATACTTTATTGTATACTCCCCCATATTAATTCACTGTCTAGTATAAAATCATCTAATTTCAATTTATTACTGAATGTGCTGTCTACCATAGAAGAGTCGGTAGAATCACTGCGACCACTCTTGGTTGCCAAATGTTATACCTTTCAAGCACAAAAATATTTAATTACACCGTGTTTCTACCAAAGTATACAGTGTTACAGTTCGGACCCGTGAGGATCTCAAATTAATTCGGAACAAAGTACCTAAAGATGTAAGATATAAATATAAAATCGCACAAGCCAGTGCCTTCTTAGCTCACGCTAAACATTGCACAACAACACACATAACACATTGGGAAGGTTAAAAATGTTACACATATGTAATGAATATAAGTCAATTTACATATTATTTTATTTTAACTATTCATCTAATAACATGAAATCATTCATCCTAGAACACAGTGACACCCATGTTTCATTCATTCAGTAACGCATGAATGAAGGGGGAGTGAAGAAGAAGAAGCAGCAGCAGGGGAGAAAGAAGGGCGTGTAGGTTTTGGCGATAGAGATCAGATGCTGCTCCTGGCTATGGTGGACCATTCATGGCTGCCATTGCGCTCTTCCTGCGCTCTTGCCGCAGCTCCGCCCCCCGTCCTGCTGCCGAGCGCTTCGGAAGCTGGGCTGTCGATGGAGCTCGGCACGTGCACACACTTGGTGTGTTGACAACTAGAGGCTGCAGCAAAGCTGCATCGGAGCCTTGTCTTGAATCCTCAGTGGTATTCGTAAAAGGACTAGGGTCTGTTGGCTATGGAGTTTGTGGAGTCCGTGGACTTAGAAATGGATTGCCCAAGGGGATCGGGGATGGGGGTTCGAAGTCGAAGAGTGAAGAAGTGCGGAGGTTTTTGTGTAGGGGTACTGCAAGTGCCGCGCTTGCATGGGGAGGGAAAGGCGTGGGGAATGGAGGCGTTGGGGCAGTGTCAGGGAAAATTGGTGGAGTGTTGCAGGGGGGGAACGTTAAGGAGCCGTCGGTGGTTGCGAAATCGCTCAGGTGTTACTATGAGATTTCCAAGTTCCGGTTGAGTACGTTGGTGGTAACCACGGCAGGGTTAGGGTTTGTGGTTGGAAGTGGGGATGTGGTGGATTGGGTGGGATTCGCCTGGACGTCTGTTGGAACCATGATGGCTGCGTGCTCTGCGAACGCATTCAACCAGATTATGGAAGTCGTGAATGACTCGCGCATGAAGAGGACCATGCGCAGGCCGTTGCCCTCCGGGCGCATGAGTTTGCCTCATGCGGTGGCCTTCGCGGTGACCATGGGGGTGGCTGGAGTCGCGACACTGGCGTACCAGACGAATACATTAACAGCTGAGCTTGGAGCTGCTAATCTTTTGTTGTATACTTTGGTTTACACACCTTTGAAGCAAATTCACTGGATCAACACGTGGGTTGGGGCAGTTGTTGGGGCCATTCCTCCTCTCATGGGTTGGGCCGCTGCCACAGGGCAAATTGATGCAGGGGGTTGGATCTTAGGCGCAGCTTTATATTTTTGGCAGATTCCTCATTTTATGGCCTTGGCATTTCTTTGTCGTCAAGATTACGCCGCTGGTAGATACAAAATGCTATCTCTCGGAGACTTATCCGGCCGTCGAACCGCTCGTGCGGCATTACGCAATTGTATATACCTCGCTCCACTGGGATTTTTAGCGCAAGACTACAATGTGGTTTCCAGTCATTTTGGGATACAGAATTTGGTGCTCAGCGGTATCTTTGGGGCTTCCGCAGCTTCATTTTACTTTAATCCGACCTCCGTTACAGCCCGCAAAATGTTCCGAGTAAGTCTTCTGTATTTACCAATATTCATGGGTGCCATGATCTATCAGCGCATTCCGAACTCTAATTTGAAGCGTCAGGAGTTGTCCGAGAATGATAGAGCTGTGAAGCATCAGAAACAATTGGTGTATGCAGACCTGAAAGGTATCGGGAAAGACATGAAACAGCCATGGTCGCTTATGCCTCCCATTGCTTCTCTCTCTGCTGCTCCTTTTCCCTTTCTTCCAGCTCCCGAGGATAGGACTTTCCAACAGGCCTGACAACATGTTTGAGACATTGTGAACACACTCACTGCTATGGGATACACTCGCCAAATCGAAGTTGAACCTCTACGCTTCTCTTGATCATCTGATCTCTCAACACTACGACGATTAGCAGTTATACATTTGCTCACGTAAGGGGAATGTGACTGGACAGCAAGAGGTGGCGCTTGTGCGTGCGTCGAGGCAACCATCCAATATAGTTTGTCAACTCTCGTTTCTCAAGTTATTCTTCGTTTTCTTTTTCAAAATCTATCTAAGTTATGTCTGCCAACCCTTGACCCGATTGGTCCTCTGGTTCGGTGCTCGGGAATTGAGGTTACTTGGAAGTTCAGCTTACCAGAAATAGAATATTAGGTGTGCGCAAGGATTATCTTAGTTGTGAGACCACTGGAAGCTAGGCGTCATGGATATCCTTTGAAGAAAGATTGATGGAGTGTTTTTATCCAGGTAACGTCTAAATTGCAGTAAGATGCGAACTGCAGTACTTCTAGGTTTCTGGAGAGTTTTGCAAGTTTGAGGAGTGTTTACTGAAGCGCATTTTGCATCGACTTGTTCAATACTGATGCGTTGTTGAATAAAAGCAGACATAGTTTGCAATAGCATTTGTTGCCGTGTGGTAACGCCACAAGTTTTAGCAACAAAATTTCACTCTTTGTTCGATGGCCTTCTGCAGTGCATACATGCCCGCAGGTTTACAAATTAGATGATCAGCAGCTGTGTGGCCTTCTTTAGGGAAAGCACCAAGTCGAGGCGGCTTCTCCTTCCTCATTCTTGGCAAGGTGCTTATTTGTTTGGGATCTACTCACACAGAACTCGATCAACGGAATGGATATAAGGATGAAGATTTACATGGCTCACAAGTTTTGAACCATCCCTCATTGTCTCTCGATCGTTTTGTCTGCATCTTGTTTGGAAAGAATTCTAGTTACAGATGCAGACTCGACATTTGACCCAAATAATCAACTCCTTCCAGAAAACTTGGTGTTGGTAAACGCAGAAGTTTTCCTGTGAATTCTTCTGCTGTTCTCTGCAAGGACTTCAAGAAGTCATCTTCTTTTGGTGTTGATTTTACTCATATTTGGGAAGTGAATGTTTCAGAAAGTTTATTTTTAATCTTGATGGAACCATTATATATATATATACAAAATATTGTTGGCATAGAAAGGAATTTTCAATTGCTACGGAGTGACTGGTGGAGCAAAACAAGGGTCTGAATTATTGTTGCTTACATGCTTCAATTATTTGTGGTTGATTGTGAGTTTAAGCAAAAAACTGTTAAATCTTTTTTTTCACATGAAGCCATCTAAACTTGAAGAATTTGAAACAGAATAATGAGTCCAACATCGGAATTGAGTTTAAAACTCGATGCCAATCTACAAACATTCTAAACATTAAAGTTGAAAAGTTTGATGGTGTATTGTACAATCTAGAAGAGTATGTGAATAAGCGTAAAGACTTGTAAATGGACTTGTTGACATGTTTCGACTTAACCATCTGACGAAAAGTAATGTCTGCAATCTTGATGTATCTACAAGGGAGTTAAATATTAAATTGACTTCAACATTTACTAGCATATATGCATAGAACACACATGTGTATAATACGAGCTAGGTGAATCTAATTATGTAAATATTAGATGAAAAATCATAGAAATAGAATACCATTTAATCAGTAGCATCTAGAGATGACTTTTAAATATATTTAATCTCTATCGTGTTAGTCGTTTGGGCATAGAGCTTCAACTAATGATTGTTAAACATAAGTTTTAATTTTCAAGAAAACGTCATTGAAAAATATAAAATAATAACATATGCACTGTAAGGTGTAAAAAAGATATCAGGGAAGCATGTGTAGATTGACAAAAGAAGATATATCTTATGTTGAAATATATAGTCCAGTAGCATTATGCTATTATCACTATTTTCAGGTGATAAGCATGTAAATATGCCAGGCTTTTACTAGATTGACCCACTTCTCTTAAGCAACTGGTGTACATTCGCTACATGTTCGTGTGTTCGTGTGTGTGCTGGATAATGACGACGTTTTTGTTCTGTTTCGTAGCCACATCTTGTAGGGATGTGGGTGAGACTGAGGAATTCTACCAGTTGCAGGTGGGCGTGGTGACTCAGCCAAGCACAGTAAAACACCATTCCTCGCAGAAAACACCCTCTCCCTCCGATCCCTGCAACCCCATGGATCCCTGCAATCCTTGCCTACTTGCAAAGCATTACAAAAAAAAGAGAAAAAAAAGAACATGACAAAATCAGAGGGGCAGAAACTGTGGATGTGCTGCTATTGGCCTCCTAGACAAGATCTCATTCCCCTCGCAGGCAAAACGACAAGTTTCGACGACGCTTTTGGGCTAGTGGCCCTGCGGACGGCGAGTAAAATTTGATGCCGGAGATTGCCTTGCCCTATCGATTGATTCCTCGTCCTGATGGGATCGAAAAGTTAGCAAGCCGAACATTGTTGAGAATCGAGCTTTCCGGAGGAAAGTGTCCCAAGTTACCGATCTGGGTCAGGATGCTTTCGGCATATGGTTGGTGACGGCACGAGCTTAATTCATGAACCTGGTCAACCCATCCAGCGAGGACCGGTTGAACGTGCAAAAAGAAAATGTGAATCGAGAATTGCTGGTTCTTCTCAAATTTCTGTTCTTATCTGAGCATAGTCTCAACAGGGTTGTGCGCCCGTTGATGAATTCGCATAGCTTATTGAAAGAGCTGCACGATTCTGCAACAGTATGTTTCCTTGAGCTTGAATCAACATTCATGAAGACGTTTTGAAGTGGGTGGGTGTTTTTAATTCCGTGTTTGAAGCAGAAGGATTACCCATGAGTTTATCTAAATTTAGTCGGGGCGAAGGATGCAAGGTCGCATAGCAAAAATAGGTGTGAAATCAAAATAAAATCGATGAGTCCGATTTCCCATTTGTGTCTGAGAAAAATGGATTCCTGTACTTGCACGGCATCGCAGAGCTGGTGCGCATCACCTCTAGGTTCCTCGCAGCGCAAGTGGATCCGCGTCGAATGCCTTTTGAACCTCCTTCCCTCTCCCCGAGCAGATCACGCCTTTCGCCCCATGTGTAATTAATAATGGCCCACAGTTGCAGAATCTCTCGCGCACCGCTTTCCTTTCTCGCTCATTCTGCTGCAATTTGCTCTATTTGTACTCTCGTATTCTGCACTCCCTACTTTAGCAGAGCAGTCCACATCTTCATTGTCTTGTAGCGCTCCGTCTAGATCGTCGCTGTTTAGCTGTTCGTTCAGCACATTTCGTCTGCAGAACTAGCTCGGGGAGCATTGCGGGTGGATCTTACAACAGCAGCAGCACTTGTTACTGACGTAGGGAGCATCGAGCTTTGTTAATTGAAACCTCTGAAGTCCTCCGTTGTTTCACTGTTGACACATTCTGACTACTCCGCCCCCGTAGCTCACCGCAAGCCGCATCCCCAATATATTCCTCACGTTTTCTTCAAAGTACTACATGCTTGGGCAATATGCATTTCTTTGGCTGGACATTGTGAAAATTTTCACGTTCGAGGGCGCATCTCCTTGGCTTGATTAACGATGAGATTTGTGTAGAATGTGGCCACGCGAGTTGTGAAGAAGCCAACCGGTGAGTTTTGTTTCTCGCAGAAATGCTGTAGCATAAGCTATTGCAGGAGTTTACGCATCATCACATTCTTTGGCAGTAGCAGTCGGTTGCTCCGTGAGGGGGCAGATTAAGCGATCGAGAATGGCAGCTCCCGCCGCAGCTATGAGCTTGTTGCCCAGTCACAGCCCAGCGAGACTGCATCGAAGCAATGTGGTGCCATGCTCTTTGATGTCAACCCCAAGAAGCATGAGAGCCACACCCTTGGGCAACTGCGCACTATCCGTGCCGTTCCCTGCCGCCATGAAACCGAGAAGCACGAAATTCTCCACAAGTCGAAACTCGAGCGATTCGGCCGAGAGTGACAGCGTGGCGGAGAACTTCAGCGAGAACGACGAAGACTACGCAGACTCCACAATCGTTGAAGCTGTGGAAGTCAGGAGTGGTCCCGAGGGCTGCACTATCAAGATGCGCAACGGCGATGTGCTCAAGTGCGTGCACAACTCGAACGAGGCAGGAACGCTCCCCGTTTACGATCCGCACCCGGCCATCGTCTTACACCTCAACGACAGCTCCAACCTTCTCCTCCCCATCATCGTCCTCGAATTCCCAAGCGCAATGCTCTCCGACGCCATCCGAAACGTCGAGCCCACGCGCCCAACGGTGTATCAAGTCATGAGCAACATCCTGGAGGTGTCGGGATACAAAGCCAAGCTTGTCCGCGTGACGAAACGCGTCAACGAGACGTATTTCGCGAGGGTGCATCTCGTCAAAGAGGGAGATGACAGTGCTCCTCCCATGAGCCTCGACATTCGCCCCTCCGACGCAATCAACCTCGCAGTCCGGTGCAAAATCCCCATCCAGGTAACGCAACTTGTTCTAATCTCCTCTCTGAATCGCTCCCTCCCTCGCTGCAGTTCGTGCTGTGCTTCACATGTTCCGGGATAGAATTCCCATACTGTCCTGTGCATGCAGGTGAGTAAGAATCTCGCAATGGGAGATGGGGTCCGGGTTGTCACCGATGTCGAGAAGCTCCCCTCCACCATCACCACTAAGGACGGGCTAGTCATCACCGACTTGGACACGCCGCTTCCTGGGCCCTGCCTAGACGCCGAGGAGTTTGTAATGGTGCGGGACATGCACATCGCCGCTGTGGAGGAGAGGTTCATAGATGCGGGCAAGCTGCGCGATGAGCTCGAGCAGTTCAGGAAAGCGGCGAGCAGCGAGAGTTTGGAGCAGAACAAGCAAACGGCAGAGACTGAATGGCCCCCCCATCGATCAGAACCCCCCCAATCCCCTGTCTAGCTTCTTCTTCTTCTTCTCCTTCTTCTTCCTCCTCCTCTTCTTCTCGTGTTCCACAATTGCACACTCGCTCACCTCATGGCTCTGGATTCCGCTTCGATTCTGATGCGGCACTGTGTACCCAACTCGCGCAACCGTCACCGACAAGGACCCTACTAACTCCTCGTCACGTCATCGAAGTGCCGCTACTGCTCCCATTTCGGCATTCGATCCACTGTTCTGCACCTGTTGCAGCAGCTCACGTTGTTGTTGCAAATCCCTCACACATGTATCATATATATATATATATATATATACAGCTGAAGAAAAATAGATAGAAAGTTGGTTAGTTTGATAGACAGATTGATAGATGGATAGATATTGACACATTAATGTTGTGCAGAGAAGAGCACATTCATTTTAACGCAGTTATGAATCAGCATTTGATTGACATTCTATTAGTTAGTTAGATTGAATTATTCCACATCGACGGGGTCTTGCAGCTAACGCAAGAGCGCCGATTGCTGATCGCTACTAATCCGCCGACATTTCCACAAGGAAACCAAAGAAATATCAACATAAACTGGTTCTGAATTTGAATCTTAACTCCGGTGTCTCCGACGGAGAAGCCTCACCGACACGATTTTAAAATCCTTCTTGGAATAAAAAAGTGATTTTTAGCAACTTTTTTTACACCATTTTTTCCATGACGAAGTGCACCATGTATGCGTGCAAGGTGCAAATATGTTCATTTATTTTTTTGGAATTTTCGCAGATGTTTTGCAGCAAATAATTTAGATGTTTTTTTAGATACATCATTTCGACTAGTCACCAACTACTATGTGTAAAATTATGAAATAATACATAAATTTATTTGATAGACTTACAGCAAAAACTATCATGGTTTTTCAGTTTATTGAATAGACGAGTATCTTCTTAACAGCTTGTAGACTAATTATAGAATAATTATTATATGATTCTTTTTCATTGATTTTAATATTTAAGTATTGTGAATGTTTTAAATTTTTGAGAATTTCATTACATTAATAACTTTCAGAAATGGATATAATTTTTTTAATAAAGTATTAAACTGTTAATATTATTCTTTGTTTAATATATATATTCAAAATTATATTAATTTATTTATGATATGAAAATAATTTCTGATGAATTTTTATTTTGAAATTTGAAAAATCAATATACTAATTCTACTGAAATATGTAATTAAATTTATCAAAGTAAACCTTACATTTTTTTTAAACATATTGCATGTCAAAAGTCTTCTTACCAATTGACATATTTCAATAATTAGGAGTATGATTTAAATTTTAATCATAAAAAAAATAAACTTGTTAAAAGTAAACTAAGAGGTCTGAAGAATCAAGTAGTTACTGCTAAGATACAACAAGTTCTATAAAACAAAATAGCAAGACTTAGAAAAAGAAATCTACAAAAATAAAATAAAATAAAATAAAAAATGGCAGCAATTTTGTCGTTGCATATAATACTTGAAAGGCTAAAGATTTGTAGTCAATGCTTCTAACATCTAGCCATCTTAGGTATTAAAAGAAATTCTTTATAAGATTCCTAACAAAATGTGTTTGTCATGCTAATAAACAGGCTTTGAAAGAGATATTTATAACATTATTTATTTTTAGGATTTATAATCAAAACTATTAGGAGGTTATTACAAATATTAAAATATTCTAGAAGTTTGTATATATAGTACATGTCATAATTTTAAATTAGATCAAACTATTACTAAATGATAATTATTAAAAAAAAAATTCAAATGTAATATTCTTATAATTAACTAAATAGATTTAATTTTAATGATAATTTTTTGTTAAATTTTTGATATGAAAAAATAGAATAAATTACTAGAAAAAAATTATAATTGAGTTTGTAAAGTAAAAGTTTTAAAACACACACACACACACACACACACACACACATATATATATATATATATATATATAAGGTATTGTACCACATTGTTTTGTTATTGCCACCACAATCTACTATCCACTAAATGTCATAACAGTTTTTACTATTGCCACCACAATCCACTATCTACTATATGCCATCTATATCCTTTGTCAATATTAAATAAAAAAGCATATTTATTTATATTTTAATCTTAAAAATAAAAATATTTCTTTGAGTTTTTTTTTTAAATTTTTAAATTTTTATATTTATTATTATAAATAAATAAATATTTATATATGTATGTATTGGAAATATTAAAAATAGACTAATTAAAATAACAATAAACTAAAAATTAAAAAAATATTTTGAATGAACAGAGAATTGTAGTGTCAATAGCAAAAATTATGATAGCATATAGTGGATGACAAATTGAGGAAACATTAGCAATATTCCATACATACATGTATATAAAATATACTTTTATTATTGAGTAATTAATATAATTGAGTCTAAATAGTATTTATCTTGTAGGATTTAAATACATTGTAAAATTTGTGTCATTTTAGAATGAAATGATTATGAAAATAAGAATTTTTAAAACTTTGCATAAAAAATTTAGAAAATTTATAAAAAATAAATAAATTAAAGAGCTGTGTAGTTCAATTCTAACTCCAATCTCAAAATATATAGTTCAGTAGGCCATCTTATTTAATTTAAAAACTAATATTAGGACTTTTAAATATATCAAAGTACCTAAAATATATATATAAAGATGGCAAACTTTTTAATTTGGCTACATATTATCTTTCAACAAAATTCTAAGCTTATATGATTAAAAAAACATAACAAATGAAATAAGAACAACAATTTGTTTCAACAATAATAGAAACCATATACAAAAAACTTCTAATCATAATTTTATAGATTTAATTAAGTTTAAAAAATGTTTATATATATATATATATATATATATATATATATATATAATCAAAAATACTTTTTAAAATCTAAGCTCTTTTACAAAAATAAATAAATAATAAAGATAAATCATGATTCTTAAGAAGAAGAATTAAGATTTTAATCTCAAGACTTAAACTTGATTACAAAACTAAAAAAGATAAAAACATTACTCCAAAGATATAAAATACATGAATAAATTAAAAGATTCAATATAATTTTAAATAGACTATAAATACTATAAATAATTCAAAATACTTATATACTAATTTTTATTATATTTCAAAAAAAATTATATATATATATATATTCAATTTTATATCTTTAAAAGTATTATTATTTATTTATTTTTAGTAAAATATAGATTCCAAAATAAAATATAATTAAATGAATTCAAATAAGTTTTTTTTTTTTTAATTCTTTTAGAATAATATACTAAAAAAAAATCTATCATTATGGAATTTCAAACATGGTGCCATTGCAAAATCAAATAACTAAGATTTAATACTTGATGTTTCTAAAATCATTCAAAATATCAAATCTAAGATATTATTATTCAAATTTCAATATCCATTGATATTTTTTAAAGTATCACTTAATATTTTAGTAATGTATCAAGTTATATTAAGATGATACAGTATATCAATTTAACATTTTACATCTGTACTTTTTAACATGATTTGATATTCTTTATGCTTTCAAAAAAGATCTCGAGTACTACAGATAGTAGTAAAGGATGTCATTTTGGAATAAATTATTATGCCACAATTGTGTGCTCACTAGAAGACATAAAAGAACTTTCAAAAGTTGCTTAGTTTAAGCAAGATTGTGTTATACAAGAAGTAGATGTCTAAATTTGAAGCTTTGATGTTGGGAGTTGCCAAAATAAACAAAGCATGAAACAACAAGTTTAATCTTTCTATGACCAATATGATAGGTCAACTATGTACTTTCAAGGCCAAATTTGTGGCCATGTATGAGTGATCAAATGGTACTAGCATTGATATCAATGAAAAAGATTGGAAGTAAGGTATATACATTGTGACTACAAAGATAGAAGACACCTATCTTCTCTTTAAAAATATGTGTATTTTCTATAATATAAGGCCAAATGTGATTTCTCTCTATTACAAGGATTCCACTAAGGTAATGAATACAAACTCACTAATACCCCTCTAAGACTCCACATTGGTATTGATGAATAATTCATTGATGCTATTATCCGACTTAAATTTGTTATTTGAGGAAATATTACTTGATAATACTTGGGAGACTTTATTATAAGACAAACTTGATGGAACCAAAAGAAGTGTTTAAGGAAGATCATAAATTCTTTCTCTTCTCCATTTTTCTTTAGTCTCCATCCTTGTCACAAGCATCACCTAAAGCTTGATGCAAATTCTAGATATACTTGCAATACATGTTTTTACTTCTAAAATCTATAGCTTAATATAAATTTTAGAGATAAATGGTATATTAAAACAAAATTATAGCACACAATTCTGAAATATCATGGATGAAATATCATGGATAAAATTTTTATGAAAAAAAAATATAAAATTCATGCATAACCATGAAAAATAATAGTTACAATAATAATAATAATAATAATAATAATACTAAATAATAGTTATTTTATCATAGTATCACGGACCTACTCATGTAAGCTAGTAATTACATATATAAATAGATAGAAGTAAGTAAAAGTAGATAAAAGTAAATTAATTCTATAGTATTTGATATGAAAGCTTCTTCGAAGCTTCATAGATGCTGCTTTGACTTTATAGGTGTCTTTAATTGACTTTTTGGAATTAGAAACGTGGTCAACAAGTTGGCCATGTACCACACATGTTGTTAGCTTGAAGACCAAGCTAACAATGTGGCCCACACATAGAAAAACTTGCCTTGTAAGTCAAGGCATGTGTCCTACAAAGTCAACACATATTGGAGGTCCTATAGAACGTCGCCACGTAGCTGCTAGTTAGATAGTATATATAGAGACAAGAATAAAGCCTTCTTCACTCTTGTCAATTCTTTTCTTGCTTCCAGTCTAGTTTCAAGGGTCTTCATGTTTTCTAGGCTTTGGCAATAGCCATTCCAGTTTTTCTTTCAATATATATACTTGTTTATTTATATTTTGTTACCTTTCTTTGAGTGAAGGCTTACTTATTTGAATTGCTTTTTCATCGAATTCTTATCCTTGAGAGAATGACAAGAATACACTTACAATATCAAAGCTTTGTCTTTTCTTGATTAAGAGTAAATTACCCCTTTTTCTTGATAAGACATAAGTGTATTAAGAGTTGTGGATTACCCTCTTTTAAACTAATATTATTTTTAGTATTATCTTTGTTCTCAAGTCCATTCTCTTACTTGTCTTGAGCAATATTAGATATTTTTTTTCTAGGTATTACTATGGGAGAGCTTATCGAATTGAAGAGTGCAATGACACAAATGCAAGAACAACTAAGGTAATTAATACTTGTGATGCATCAACTTAATTCACCAACAGAAGAAGGAGCAAGAATAACAGAAAGTAGAGATGTAGAAATGGTCAGAGCTGCCTCAACATCTACATCGAATCATACTCCTTCTCCCATGGTGGAACATCATTCAAATGCTAGAGAACCAAGAATTGCCTTACCCGAGAAATTTGATGGTACGAGATCAAAGTTTTGAGGATTCATCAATCAAGTACAATTGACAATCAAACTTCAATCCCAAAGCTATCCAACTCCAGGATCAGAAGTCAGGTTTATTAGAACAGTACTTTCTGGTTCTGCATTATCATGGTTTTCATCTTTTCT